CTCGGGAATATCCAAAGAGCTAAAAATAGATTCCTACCTATACTCAGATTGCTTACCTGGGCATGGAGTCACATTCATTTCAGTCTCAACTGAGAGTGGAGGACCACGAGTTTGAAGCCAGCCTTGAGTACATAATGAGATCCTGTCTTATAAGATGAAACAGCACCCCACAAACTAGCACTTGCTTGTCCTTTGTAGCCACAAGAATTTTCATGTCCTAAAGTTTCTTTTTTTTTTTTTTTTTTTTTTTTTTTTGGTTTTTCGAGACAGGGTTTCTCTGTGGTTTTGGAGCCTGTCCTGGAACTAGCTCTTGTAGACCAGGCTAGTCTCGAACTCACAGAGATCCTCCTGCCTCTGCCTCTCAAGTGCTGGGATTAAAGGCGTGCGCCACCACCGCCCGGCATCCTAAGGTTTCTTTAAGGAATAACTTGCCATCTGAGGATGGTAGGGGGTCCTAGGTGGCCACTAGGAGGTGCAGAGTAAGCAGGTATTGCCACCTAAGAAAGGTAGGGTCCCAAGTGCCCGTTAGGAGATGTATAATAAGCAGATATTGCCATCTAAGGGGGCTTGGTGTCCCTGATACCCATTAGGAGGTACACAATAACTTTTAACTTATTCTCCGTTATGAAAGCACCTGTCTTGTACAGGTACGGGCAGGAACCCACCCATTCCTGCCCTCATAAAGGGTTGTTGTTGTATCAGGATTAGAAGGACACATGCTGCGTTCTGAGGTGGAATCAAACAAGAATTTGGCCTTTTGTCAAAAGTACACAAGCTGGGCTGGAGAGTGGCTCAGCGGTTGAGAGCACTGACTGCTCTTCCAGAGATCATGAGTTCAATTCCCAGCAACCACATGGTGGCTCACAACCATCTGTAATGAGATATGGTGCCCTCTTCTGGCCTGCAGGTATACATGCAGACAGAACACTGTATACATAATAAATAAATAAATAAATAAATAAATCTTTTTTTAAAAAAGTACACAAGCAAATCTGGGTGGGACTGGCAAGATGGGGCTAGCCTCCAAGTCTGATCAGTGGGCACAGAGGCTGGCCTCCAAGTCTGATGCCCAAGTGTGATCCCCAGGACCACACATGGTAGGAGGAGAGAACCAGTTCCCACAAGGTGTCCTTTGATGTGTACACACACACACACAGAGAGAGAGAGAGAGAGAGAGAGAGAGAGAGAGAGAGAGAGAGAGAGAGAATTTAACTTTTTAAAAAGCAAACTTGTGTTCTGGCTTGGACAGGACTTCTTGGATATTGTTTTTCCATAAATACATCTTCACTGAAATTTTATTTCTAATAAAAATGGGGGTCTATTTCTCAAAGATTGAGCAGGCTTTTTATTAGCTCAGATAAGCTTAGACAGGGGATTCAAAGCTAAGCATCCAGCAATGGTAGATTGGGATATAATGAAGAAACAGAATACAGCACGTTCAGAAGCTAAGGCCTGTCATCTTAGCATTGAAAAAGCTGAGGCAGAAGGATGGCCTCAAGTTTAAAGACAGCCTGGGCTGCAGAGTGAGAGCCCATATCCATCTCAAGAGAAAAAGAATGAAAAATCTTCGCTAGTGACAAGGAGACACAGTTTAAACATGAATTAAACGCTGTATTTTTTTCTTGGCCAGATGGAAGTAGCTGAAAAGATGGCTGTCAAAGCTGGCAGAGTGTGAGACACTGGCTATTTTACCCTGGGTCAGGGAGTAGCTTGGGACTGTCTTCGTGGCTGTCTCCCTGGATGGACAGTCAGACCTCTGTACCTGTGAGTCCCTCATCCTTAAATTCATTCTCAGGCCGAAAACATTTAGAACAGTGTTGCCTCTTCATCACATAGGAACTGACATTTCTCTTGTTATCTCCTAAACAATGCAGCATAGCAGCAATCTCCACACTTCCATTGTATTCAGAGTTAAATAATCTGGAAATAAAAGGATTCGTGTAGGTTCTAGATAAATAACAAGCCACTTTCGATAGGAAACTCGGGCCGTGTGGATGGACGCTGGTGTTGGTGGGAGTGGGAGCAGCTAGTCAATCCCCTCAGATACAGGCATAACCATGCTCCCCATGTGCCCACTAACACACCGATTCTACACCTCAGCACTGGGAAGGCTCGCTGGCCTGTCTGTCCTAATGGGAAAGCTCCAGGTTCAGTAGGAGACCTTGACTCAAAAATGAAGGTGGGGAGGTGACTGAGGACACCCAGTGCAACCCTGACCTTCACAAGCATGGACAAACATGCGCGCGCGCACACACACACACACCATAGATGCAAACGCACAGAAATGCATGACAAATAGGGATTCTCTACTCTTGCCACGCTGGGGGACCTTAAAAACTACTAGCCTATGATTCACCCTAGGCTGTCAGACTCTCCAGCTACAAGGCCAGGCATGATGGGTTTTAAGACTTTCTGAGTAATTCTCATATGCGGCCAGGGTTTCAAGCCATACCTGTGCAAGGATGCCCCAGGAGGCTTTGTCTGGAACAAGGGAAGCCCTTAAAAGAATTAAATGTCCTTCACAGGTCAGATTAAACCAGCAGTGCTGTTTGGGAAGGGCAGCCACATGGCCGGAAACGTGGAAACTTCCTTTCCAAGGCTGAGTGCTTGGCTGCGCCAGCGCTCGCTCCTCTCACAGTGCTTTTCTGCGTTCTCACTCCAGCAGCTGAACTCTTCTGTGTGAGCACAGAGCATACTCCTTTGCTTTGTGGCCTTGGCACTTGCTGGCCCCAGTGCCTGGAGCAATCTTCCTCTTTTTACCCACACAGCTTGCTCCCGTTTCTTCCTCAGGTACTTGTCCTGAGACTAACCCCCAGTGGATACTGAATGGATATGACCCCATTAGGTACACATGTGTATACATTCTCACACACATGCTTACACATATTCCACACAACTCCACACACATGCACCCCACACACGCACGCCACACACAAACACACGCATGCCACACACACACCACACACACATGCTTGCCACATACACACACTTCACACATGCTCCACACACACTATATACACTACACAACACACTACACACATACACTATATACACACACACTCCATCCACACACATACTACACATATGCACACACACACTCCACACACACCACATGCACACAGCCCACACACACACAGTCCATACACACACATACACACTCCACACACACAGTTCACACGCACACAGTCCACACACACACAACCCACCCACCCACACACACACACTCTACACACACAGTCTACACACACAAACACACACACACTCTACACACACCTTCCTGTCCATGGATATAAACAAAGAAAATGCCCAGAGGACATAGACAACCCAACCCTGAGAACTAAAAGTCACTAGAGAAGAGCCCGAGGCACAGAGCTGCTCAGTGAATGTAATTGCATCCGTAACATTCAGGTTTTTTGCACAGACCACACACAAAATTAAATACATTTTTTATTAAAAACTTTCAAGGGCCTGTCTTAAAAGTTTTCACTCGGAGTTCAAAAAGAGAAGCCACAATGAGCATAAGACAAAAGTCTGATGGCTGTAGGGAAAAAAAAAATCTTCTCCCAAATGTTCTTTCTAGTCATGTGCTCTTTATTTCTCTCTCTTCATTCCACTGCCTCTATCCTAATTCTTCTGTCCTAATTGTTTATAATTTCTTTGCTCTGATTCTCTGTCTCAATTCCAATTCTCTGTTACAATATTCTGTTTCAATTCTTTCTGTTCTAATTATTTTACATTCTTTCTTCTCCTCCTGCTCTACTTCTCCTCCTCCTCTCTCCTCTCTCCCTTCTTTCCTCCTTCTCCTCTTCTCCTGCTCTACTTCTCCTCCTCCTCTCTCCTCTCTCCCTTCTTTCCTCCTTCTCCTCTTCTCCTTCTCTTCTTCCTTCTTCTTCTTCCTCTCCTTATTTCTTCTCAATCTATTTCTTCAGCTGTAACGAATTCCATGCATATATATATATATATATATATATATATATATATATATTAGCAACTTGTTAGTAATATAAAATACTACAAGGCAAATTCTTAGAACACAGGCAGTCTTTGAAGATATGTAGCAAAATTTATCAGCTAGTTTGTAGCTAACAGCAGCTTCAGCAGTGAGGAGGTACAGGAGATCTTTTAAAGAGGCTGCTACAGGTTACAAAGGAAGAAAACTACACCATTGAGAGAGCCAGGGAAAAGGCAAAAAAATATGTGCATTATTTTACATTTCTTAAGTGTGATTAATAGTATCTGGACCTAGTCAGTTAGGTGCTATTGGTCTCTTGAAGGACTAAGACAGACACCTCCAATACCACCCTGATTCATCATAAATCCTCTGAAGGCTTAGGGCCTACAAGGCCAGATGCCTGCAATTTCATACATAACATCTGTGGAAGTTCCCTTTGTGGTCTGTCCAGAAGGACACATGTCTGGCCAACTTGCTCTGTATGTAAGGCTAATGGTAGAGAACAGGCTTCTAAGTTTCTCACCATGATGCGGAGAACACAGTGTAGAGAGAAGCTGTCCTTCTGACCACATCCACAAATACGACTGAGATGTAATCATGAAATTACATGGACATAGTACATGGAAATACATGGCAATGGGGAGCTATCCCAACTGTTATTGCACAAGCGAAATTACAAATGAAAGCCACAGTTTCCAGAGGCAGTGGCCTTGCCAGCTCTGCCAGGCAGGGCTCCTCTATCTGAGGATAATTTCTCGGGTGGGTTGACACCTGAATTATCAATTGCTATAAGCTGTAATTGCTCCATGGCCCACAATAGCTCGTGATAAACACTCCTGACAATTTTTCAGGTGAAAAAAAAATTTTTTTCAGAAGAAAACCAGTGCTTAGAGCACAAAGCACAAAGCCCACTAGCCCACTTGAGCAGCCTCTAGTCAGAATGAGTTCTTCAAATAAGAGCAGCAAGCCCTCAAAGCCCACCCCCAGAAGTCCAGTCCATTGTCTCTCTCTCACACACACGCTGTCTCCTTCTCTGTGTGCCACACAGCCCCTGAAGAGCCAGCAGTCAGCGGGCAGCATGGAGGACAGTCCTCATCTGACACATCCCAAGAAGTTTCTGAGGAATGGATCCTCGATTTCAGACTGTGAGATCCTTCCCTCCAGGACTCTCCAGAGGCAAGTCCCTGGCAAACGAACACCAAGTCCGGACGCAGGAAATCAGAGTGGCACAGACATGCCTACCAAAGTCACTGACTGCTGAAAAACAAGAAAATGGTGTCTCGCTGTCTCAGTTCAGCAAACTGCGTCCATTCCTCTTCTGTGGGGATGAACTTCAGAAACCTCACTATTTTTCATGGGGGGATCTGGATTTGAGGGGAGCCAATGGTTTCCAAGGAGAGCAGAGAATGCTGGTGTTTACAAAATAGAATCCAAACCTTGTAGCATGTTTAAAGTTGTACAGCAACTTGAATTCATAGATTTATTTTTCCCATGCTGTAGGTTCTCACCACTTCCCTCAGCAACCCCAAAGCTCACGCAAGCCTTCTGGAATTCTGCCCCATGTTTAATGTTTCCAATAGTCCCCCTTCTGCTTCTATCTGCACCGATCCCTCGGAGCCTGAGAATGAGCCCAGATCCTAGGCATATGTGCACCCTCTCCACCCCAAATGTGGGAATAAACTGGTTATTTTATGGAACGTGGCTTTCTTTCAAACCTATTTCTTTTAGAAAATCTGGCTGCTACTTGGAAGTGTCACATTCTTGCATTTTTTTTTCCTATCCGACGTCAACCACTAAGGTATGAATGCCCTGGCTTCGTGATGTCATTACCCCACGTGCCCAAGCATGCTAGCATAGGGTTTTTGCAGTGTGGGAAGTATGGGCCACGGGTGGTACGCAAGATGATCTCTAATTTATAAATACAGTAGCAAATAACACTGGATTTCGAAGAATGCTTCCTGCTGTATCTTTTCTCATTCCTGATCGCTGCAAGGAGAATCTCTCTCTCAGGAACCTTCACACCTTCCTGCCAGAACAGTCATTGCCCAGCACTGCAAAGCAGCAGCAGCCTTCAGGTCCAGTCTCAGGCTAGACAGAACTCGGTGATGTTATTAGCTTCCACGCGTGGTTCATCATGGACTGATGCTCTGTATTATGTAAGTAAGTGAACTCAGAGGTAGACACCGAGTGCTTAACCTAACAGGTGATATTCATGGCAAAAAAAAAAAAAATCACCTCCAGAATTAATGTCGGAAACACAGTGACAGTGAGCATGAGCAAGGCAAAGTACCCTTTTCTAACTGCAGGAACAAGTGATGGAGAGTCCAAACATCTGTTTCAATGTCTCTCAGGGGGAATGGGTTTTCCCAGGCAACTCAGGCTGGTCTTGAATTGCTATGTAGCCAAAGATGACCTTACAAATGATCCCTCTGCTTCTGCCTTCTGAGTGCCAGCTTAGGGGCTTCTTCGGCCATGCCCGGTCACTCTGTATTTCCTTATTTGACACTAGCTATGCACGTTGATTTTAAAGTTTCTTCCTCTGAAGAATGGAGATAAGAACAGCTACCTCCTTACCTCATACTGCTACAAAAATTAATTGCTGTAATAGACATGCCCCTGGGGGGAAAGCTCTATGCACTAAACAGATGTGGAGCATGGTAATCGTGGAAACACTAGACCCTAGCAACAAAAAGAAAACTTGACGGACATGAGAATCTACTGGTCATTTCACCCAGGTGTGTCATGAGCCAGCCCTTGTCCCAGAAGGGAGTCTCAGTGTCCAGGGACACCAGCGCCATTCCAGCCTATCAGGTCCTGTTTCTCACATCTTGTTGTTTATGTTTGGGTCTCTGGTCTCTTTTGCCCAGTGGAAAGTGTTGCTGAGAGCGCAGAATAAAAATGGCTTTAAGTAAGCCCATTTACCGTGCTGTATGAGTCTGTTTTTCTTGCTGTGTTCACTCCTCTAGAAACTTCCATAATCAAAATGTTGCTCATCTACCTCAGCTTTTTTCCACAGAGAAGACCATAGAAAGGGCAGAGATGGGGCTAGAGAGTCCCCCATTGCTAAACTAACTTATATCTGACCTGCAGGGCATTTAAAACATTAGTTCAGCTAAAGTCAAAATAAGATGATACTCTTATCAGTGGGATCTACAGGGTTAAGAGGGGCTCTGAGTTTTGTTGGCCCCTAGGGCCCCAATATGGGACAGTTCTCTTCTTTAGAGCATTTTATAACATCTGGACTGGCCCTCTCCCTGTGGTAAATCTCCACTGTCAACTTGTCAACCACAAGAGAATCAAGACTTGTGGGATTATCTCCATTAGGTTAACTGAGATGGGAAGACACACCCACTGTGGGCGGCACCATTCCTCGGGCAGGGTCCTGGAGTGAATGAAAAGGTGAGCAGAAGGGAGAAGGGAGCTGAGCGCGCGCACAGACACACACACACACACACACACACACACACACACACCTTACTTCCTGAGGAAGGAATGTAACCAGCTACCCCTTCTCCGGATCCGGATGCTGTGACTTCCTTACCATGAGGGACTGTGTCATCCAACTGGGAGCCAAGAACAAAGCCTTTCTCCCAGGTGTCTTCTGTAGAGGAATTTCACAACAGGAAAAGGAAGTGGGATGTCCTCACTCCTAGCACATCATTCAGTGAGATGAGCGGCTGAAGCACAAAGCAGGGTTTACTGTTCATGTAACTGCAAAACTCCAAGGAGAATGTTGAGGAAGACTAGATAATGGTGTGTTGGGTTGCTGGAAACATTCCCCAACATTTCTCATCCCCGGCTTGTTGTGTTTGTTATAGGTTCATAGCCATGAGCTTGTGGCCAACAGCTTTGGACTTTCCCGACTGTTTTACCACCACCCATGGAGCTAAAGCGTTTGCTTCCATAGTTACTGGGTGGGAGGAGAATTAACTGTACAAGATAATGTACAATTGGTCAGGAACAAAAACAAACAAAAAGTCCATAGACTATCCAACCATCATCAAGCAGGTGTGGCCAATCCAAGCTGACTGCGGCGAGGAGTATGTATGCCTCTCTCTCCTCCCTCAGCTTTTGGAACACCGGGGCTGAGTGTGAGGTTAGTGCCAGACAGTCTTCACAGATGGAGGGTGTGGAAAAGGTGACTCCCCAGAGAAAAACCAGAGAGCATTTACCAGAAGGAGAGACAGATGCTGGGCGGAAGAACTCAAACTCTGTCCACACCGGGCCTTCTGTTCTAACTACACCTTCCAAGAGCAGAGTAATCAAACAGCTTTCAAAGCCATTTCCCAACTCTGTAGACTCGCCTCTCATCCAGCCTGCAATCCCTGGGCACCTACTCAAGCACGGAAACCGGACTCAGCTTTGAAATTCAAATCCCCGCTAAGGGAGAACCCAGGAAGTCTGCTCACCCCCGTGAGGGACAGAGGCAAATGCAAGTGTAGAAGGAAGCCATGGAGGGGCACACAAAGAATTCCGCAGATGGGCGAGCTGGCTGCCTGCGAGGGGCTGGCGGTTCAGGGAGCACAGTTCCTCTGTGCACGACTCGCTCGCTCAGGCTGATGTCTTGAGGCGGCCCTGTCCCTACCCACAAGTTATGGGCAGAAGCAGATGCAGACATAAAAATTGCTGGCCTCAGCTCCTGGATCAGCAAATTAGCTCTGGCAAACGCAGGACAGCTGCAATCAGCAAAACAGCTCCCTGCACGAATCTTGATATGTAACCCTAGACCCAGGCTTCTAAATATAAGAGACGGTTTAGGGCTACCAACTACTTCCCCCGATCTAAAATAGCATCCATATTCATGGTTTACTACCAATCCTGAAAAAAAAAATCCATATTCCTGTCCTTTTTAGGCCCTAGGGTTACTCTAAAAGTGGGTGCCTGAGTCTCGACACTTAATTCCTGCTCTTCTGAACACAGAATCATAGATACCATTCAAGCGCTACTTAGCATCACAGGAAAGTCTCAGGCAGAAGGAACCCCCTCCCAAACACCGGTTGTCTCTTATCAGAGGTGAGGGGAAGCAAGTGTCCGAGTCTGTACCTGTTTCCAAAGGCAGACGAGCTTGCAGTCAAGCTGACGGTAACTGGGCCACATATTCTCTCCATGTCTAGGCAGATCCCAGTCCACACCCACACAGCAGGCCACACATGAGACCCAGCAATTCCGCTTTTCCCAAGGAGGCTGCTCCTGATGCTGCCTCAAAGTGCTCACTACCGGGGGTGGGGGTAGGGGGTGACACAGAATTTACAGAAACAGGAACAAGTTGTTTGACTGCCTAGAAGGGTAACAAATGGCCTGATGAACAGCATGGAAGAGGACCTCGCACAAATCGCTACACATAAAAGAATAAAAGAGAAGATAAAATTCTGATGTCTAAAGAAAAAAAACCTAAATTGGGTGGGTGGTGGTAGCACATGCCTTTAATCCCAGCACTCAGGAGGCAGAGGCAGATGGATCTCTGTAAGTTCAAGACCATCCTGGTCTACAAAGCAAAGTTTCAGGACAGCCAGAGCTGTCACACAAAGAAACCCTGTTTGGGGGGCGGGGGGGGGTCCCTTTAAAAAAAAATCCTGACATCCATCAAAACAATTCACTTCTTGTGGTGTTGCAAATCCCAAACTATCCCAGCACTCAGGAGTCAGACGCAGGTAGATCTAAGATCCAGGCCAGCTTGGGTCACATAGTGAGACCCTGTCTCAAATAAATAAAAATAAATCAATACATAAATAAACTCCAAGCTTCGATGCTGATCTTCACTGCCATTTAGACTCACCCAAGACTGGGGAGCCAGCCATCTGGGGTGTCAGGAGAGTGTTTCTGTGTTCCCAGAGCTGACAGGAGCAAGCTCACCTGAGTGTGGGTGACATCATCCCATAAGGTGGTCCCTCCTCAGCCATGAAGTGAGCAAGCAGCTCCCCTCCGACGCGCTCCTGTCATCATGATGTTGTGCCCAAGTCCCCAAAGCCAAACAATCATGCTGTGAACTCTTCAAATGAACCCCACCTCCTTAGGTGGTTTCTATCCAGTATTTTTTTTTTTGCCACAGTAACAAGAAAACTAACCAAAAGGCAGTGACTCAACCCAAACTTATTATCCTTTGATTCTGGATATCAAAAGTCTGAAGTGGTCTCACTGGG